AGAGGGAGAGCGCGCTAACCACTGCACCTGCACACCCATACTCAAAGAAATTCTAATGATGAGCTGCGCTGGAACAGACTTGGTTACTGAAAGCTCCTTTGGATCGAGTTCATGTTTTTTTTTTTTTCTTTACAAATTCTGTTTTACTAATTATTTCAAAACAATATGGTGAAAAGAAAAACAACAAGGTGATAGCTTCAGTGGTATTGAGATAGGATCCCAGTTTTCATTAGAATTTATCTGTTTTTCTTGAGGTCATTTTAACTTAAATAAAGTCAAAAATATGTCAAATTCATAAGTTATGAATGTATATTGACCTAATAAGACGTAGAATTTTAATTAAACCTGATTTAATGAAAATTTCACTTCATGCAGCGTTCTTAATATATTTGAATCCCTTGCCCTGTTTTTCTTTCATGCTTTTCTGGGCCCCCATGAAAACACACTGGCCCCCTCCTGGCCCCCTGGTACATTTGGTCTAGAACCGCCACTGACAAGGCTTATTAACTTTTTAACTTTTCAATTAGCTTTTTACCTTAACTTTTGTTTTTTAACTTAACTTAATTTACAGTAGGTAATATATATTTCAAGCATTCATCTAATTGGTCCAATGCCAAAATTAGATGTAAAGCCATGCAGCAGTACCTTTGCTGAATGTCTGGATATAAATCTTTTGCTTCTAGAACTCACTGAGGGGCGGTGGGGGGGACACCATTTGTAGGGGTATGCAAGTGATCAAAGTCGATAACTTGCCCTATAAAGGGTTGAACCCCCAGTTGGTGGTGATAGATGGCTACTCCCACTCATACACATGCTTATTGTCCACTGTTACTGCATGCTGAAGAAAGAGTGAATGCTGCATGTCCTCTTCTGGATGCTATCTGCTGGTTTAACTCATATAAAAAAAAAAATGCATGGTAGCGGTGAGTAAAAATATGAACTTTACTGTCTTTTTGATTGATACTATGAATTCAAATATGATTTAGTTTAACTGACCTTTTTTTCAGATGCTTTGCCATGTGTTTTAATTTTGAATTATATTAATAAAAGTTTAATTACCTGAACAATCAACTGAGAAATGTTGGAGTTAATGCAGACATACATGTCTTATATCTTTCTTGTAATAATAATTTTAACGAGTCTCTTTTTGGGAACGCTGCAGTTTGATGTTTTTAAAGAGTCCATAAAAAACAGTTTAAATGACGACGTATTTAGCAGAATTAGGTTTCAGTCAGGTTTAGGTTGTAGTTTTCCCTTTCAAAAGAAAATCTTACATGGCAAACATGGCTTAAAATCAGACATACAGGTGTATTCAGAATGTCACTTTACCATACAGCTTAAGTATGCAGCTCCTGCAATCATGTTTTTCAGACTATCAACACTGAAATTCATCCTAAATACTACTACTACTATTGAGCCAGTGTGACAAGTGAATTAATCCACCTTGAGATCAATAAAATCTATCCAATCTTATCTTACCCTCTCTCAATATTTCTTTAAGATCTTGAACAACATAACAATCCACTACTTTAGGAAGTCACTTTTATGTGTGGTGGATATGCATAGCAGAGGTAATCAGACTTTTGCTTACAGTTATTTGAGTAGTAAGATGTTACTGTTACAACAAATGTTTAATGTACTTAGAAAATTATACCCATTTATCAAATTATTTCTTGATTTGTAAAAAGTAAATCAATTGAGGAAAAAAAAAATGACAATGTTGTTCCACCATGTTTAAAATATTTTTATTACACATCTTAAGCCAATTAAGTAGTCAGTTGTTTTGTGAAAACATGAAAGCTGCTACTTCTATCAATTAAGCAGAAGGTAGGAATTTGAACAACATAAAAACTTTGACAATATTCGTNTAACTCATATAAAAAAAAAAATGCATGGTAGCGGTGAGTAAAAATATGAACTTTACTGTCTTTTTGATTGATACTATGAATTCAAATATGATTTAGTTTAACTGACCTTTTTTTCAGATGCTTTGCCATGTGTTTTAATTTTGAATTATATTAATAAAAGTTTAATTACCTGAACAATCAACTGAGAAATGTTGGAGTTAATGCAGACATACATGTCTTATATCTTTCTTGTAATAATAATTTTAACGAGTCTCTTTTTGGGAACGCTGCAGTTTGATGTTTTTAAAGAGTCCATAAAAAACAGTTTAAATGACGACGTATTTAGCAGAATTAGGTTTCAGTCAGGTTTAGGTTGTAGTTTTCCCTTTCAAAAGAAAATCTTACATGGCAAACATGGCTTAAAATCAGACATACAGGTGTATTCAGAATGTCACTTTACCATACAGCTTAAGTATGCAGCTCCTGCAATCATGTTTTTCAGACTATCAACACTGAAATTCATCCTAAATACTACTACTACTATTGAGCCAGTGTGACAAGTGAATTAATCCACCTTGAGATCAATAAAATCTATCCAATCTTATCTTACCCTCTCTCAATATTTCTTTAAGATCTTGAACAACATAACAATCCACTACTTTAGGAAGTCACTTTTATGTGTGGTGGATATGCATAGCAGAGGTAATCAGACTTTTGCTTACAGTTATTTGAGTAGTAAGATGTTACTGTTACAACAAATGTTTAATGTACTTAGAAAATTATACCCATTTATCAAATTATTTCTTGATTTGTAAAAAGTAAATCAATTGAGGAAAAAAAAAATGACAATGTTGTTCCACCATGTTTAAAATATTTTTATTACACATCTTAAGCCAATTAAGTAGTCAGTTGTTTTGTGAAAACATGAAAGCTGCTACTTCTATCAATTAAGCAGAAGGTAGGAATTTGAACAACATAAAAACTTTGACAATATTCGTTGTCTTTGCCCCAATAGTCTGTAGAGGTAAGGGGAAGAAGAAGGAAAGAGGAAGACAAAAAAGAAAAAGGAGAAAGTTACTGGTTCGAATCCTGCCATGGACATGCATCAATTTATGCAAACTTTAACAAAGTGCTCCAAATCGATCAAAATAGGTTTAAAACTGATACAAACACAATCATCAAGTATAATAATACAATTTGTTGCAATAACAATTCAGAGAAGCATATTATACCACTCCACACCTAATACTGCTAATATTATAAATGTTTTCTGTTAATCATTTCTCAAACACTTTGGATCTTTGTGGGTGCAATATAGGTCTGTCCTTTTCTTGCAGTTTGAATGCTGTATAAGATTGTTTAAGCTTTGTTTATTCTTTGTATAAGACATTTATACAATATAATTTCAAGTTTATAAAATAAAATAAGCAAAAATTAGGCTTCCGGTTTTGAAGCATTATTAACTGGAAAATGAAACCCTTTTTTTTTTTTTTTTTTTTTTACAGTATCTTACAGTAAATCTAAAAACTGAGCTCTAGCATTTTTTCTACATCAGCAATAATAACAGTGTCCACTAGAGGCCGCTATTGCTTGGCGGTGAACGAGCTTCCATCTATAGGCAGGTGGACGGCTAAGTCAGAGCGGGTCAGACTCTCCCGGTAAAGCAGCAGCCACTGCTGTAAAGTCAGACCATTATGTGGTTGTTGGCTTTAAACTGGTCGCTGCGTTTTTTCTTTGCCTCGGTAAGTTCAGTCAATGCCGTAGTTACACTCTGCCCGCGTTAGCTAAATCGCTACAACAAGCTACAACTAATGGCAGCTGACGAGCGGAAGCTGCGTGAATTAGAGCTACAAAGTAAAAGTCGCTTTTTGATAGAAACTGAAATACGTCGGTTCACAAAATTCAGTTGGATGTCTAAAACATGCTTCTTCACCAGAATTACAGAATTATTTCAAATAATTCGGAAAGCCCATTGTATTAACTATTGTTTCATAACAAAAGCACTTTTATTTTGATAGCGGAAGAGGAAATTATTCATCCGTGGTGTTTTTAGACTTGATGCAGCATTTTACATATCTCGGAATTTGCTTAACGTTTGTTATTTAATTTTTGTATTCTGTTAAAGCTTTTTAAACACCTAACGAAACCAGATTCCACAATAAACGGTCTCGATGTGTGCTTGTTGGTATAATTTGTATAAAGCCTGTTTGAAAATTCATGTATTTTACTCGTCTGTATCAAAACCATGTAAAAAGGTTCCTGGTTTTTTATATATGCTTGCTTTCTAAAGCATTGTAATACTAAGCATAAGTGTGGTTTATTGTTTTTTTTTTTT